GAACCAAAGCCAAGTATCCATGTCCAATTAGACTCTTCATGTGGCCTCAGCTTCCTCTTAGCATGGCTGCTTCAGGGTAGTCAGACTTACAAGGCCTCTATGACTTCCAAATGCCTTCTGTTACAGTAAACACCTTGAAAAGTGTTTCACTGTTTCATATTTTGTGGTCTAGCTCCCAAAGGCTTTATTTGTTCCAATTCAAAGAGAGGGGATACGACTCCACCTTTTTAAAATTTTTTTATTTTTATTAATTACACTTTATTCACTTTGTATCCCCCCATAAGCCCCTCCTTCCTCCCCTCCCTATCCCACCCTCTCACCCCCTTCTTCACACATGCCCCTCCCCAAGTCCACTGATAGGGGAGGTCCTCCTCTCCTTCTTTCTGATCTTAGTCTATCAGATCTCATCAGGAGTGGCTGCGTTGTCCTTTTAATGCAAGTTGTATCAAAGAATTTTCAGCCTTTCTGTTTTGTTTTTTTGAGATAGGGGCTTCTCTGTGTAGCCCTAGCTGTCCTAGCTGTGGACAGTCAGGCAGATCTCTGAGTTTGGGACATGCCTCTATCTCCCAAGTACTGGGATTAAAGTAAGAGCCATTGCCCCCAGCTCTTTCCTCTTCCTCCTCCTCCTCTTCTTCTTTTGTGAGACTTTCATCCTGCTTTGCCTTCTATTGTTATGAGAAAGACCATGACCAAAGCAACTTGGGGCAAAAAGGCTTATTTCAGTATATAGGTTATGGTTCATCATCTAAGGAAGACAAGGCAGGAGCTCAAGCAGGAACCTGGAGGCCAAAATTGACCATGAAGACCATGAAGAAGCCCTGCACAATGATTTGTTTCCCATGCCTTGCTTAGCTTGTTTTATCTATTTATGTATTTATTTTTTGCAGTTAAAGAAGAGCTTTCGTTGGGGGCAAGTAAACAAACCCACAGCTGGCACACAGAGAAAAGACCCTACACAAAACTGACAGGGTGCTTGAGCTGAAAGATCCGGTGTCTTCTTCAGGCCTGGGGTTTTTAACATCTCTAAAAGGTCTTCCTTCCCTAATTTAGCGCGGGTCAGTTTGAAGAAAGACAGGGTGGCTGATTGGCCCACAACTGTTGTGTAAACCTGTCCTGATCTGGCCTTAAACTTGTTGAATCCGTCCATCAGCAGGGGTCTGCTAGGAGGAGGACAGGTACAAGGCCTTTGTTTTAAGCTAGTATGTTTGTTGTCTCGGGTCAGGAGGGTAAGAAAGAAGCCTTGAAAGTTTACCATCTTTATAACTTCGTCATGGCCTTTCCCCCATCTGTCTGAGCACCAGGGAACCTGCCTAACTCCTTTTCCCCCATGCTTCCTCCTCAAAGGTCACCCTAACTGCTATTAGGGGTTTGGAGGCACAAACTATTCTTTCCTTCCTTGAGCTGACAAAAGGAGTGAGAAGTATGGGGCAACAGTGAGAGTGCCTCGGAGGAGGATTAATCTAAAGAGGTCACTACAAGACTTAGCCAGTGCCAACAATCCAGAACATAAAACAGCCATTGGTGACAGGGTATATTCTTTTTGTTTTGCTTTTTGAGACAGAGTCTCTCTGTCGTAACCCTGGTTGTCCTGGAGCTCACTCTGTAGACCAGGCTGGCTTCTAATTTACAGACATCAGCCTGCCCCTGCCGCCCAAATGCTGGGATTGAAGGCGGTGCCCCCACCACCTGCTGATAGTGTATTCTTGAAGTGTGCTGTCAGGGTTGGCCTCTGCCCATAACATCTAGCGGAAATGGAGAATACAGGAAGTGGAGAATACCTGAGCGAAATCTAGGTTCTATCTGTAGATGTCACAATCAGCCACCAGTGTCTACGTGACAAATTTGATGAGCTGGTGGTCCTCGAAACAAATCCTGGATGAGGTCTCAAAAATGTTACTGTCTAGGGGTCTTTATTGCGGTCCTTTTCTCTGTCAAGTTAAAGGCAGGAAACCTCTTGAGCTTGAGTGGTAGCAATGGAGAAATCCTGAACACAGCAAACAGGAGCAGACAGAACCAGCAGTTGAAGAAAGGTCTTTATTGAGGGTGAGGAAACACACGAACAGCAGGAATACCGTTAACAAAAACTAACCAGCATACAAGGAAAAAAATAGTAGGATGAATGGAAACTAACAAGAATTCATATTAAATGGATGAGGTCAGCCATTCTGGGAAGAGATAATCATGTAAGACATGGTCACTGTATAGATTGATGCTGATAAGGATATTGTTTAAATGGAACCATTGAAAATGTCTTGGAAGTTTTAATGTTATAAAGAAGTGTATGTCAAAGTAACTTTTATTCTCCTGATGTAACTGTCATCTCAGAAGGCTTACTCCCTCGTCTGCTAACCTAGGCCTCGTCCTGGAAGTTTTTAGCCTCTGCACCATCTAATCTAGGCCTAGAATACTTTCAGCCTCTGAGACTTACTGCTGAATAAGCTCACCTTTTTGAGTTCTTTCTGAACTCTTGCTGGCTTTTCCAACTCAGCTGTTCTGGCTCAAACTCTTCTCCAAGCCTACTGATTCAAACTGGCTTCTCTCTTAGCCTCTGACTGAATTGCTCTGCTTGGCCACATACTAATTTTGGCAGTATGTTCTAATCTTCTGGCTCCTTCTCATTCTCTGGCTTGTTCTGTCTTCATCTGGGTCTTCACCTTGCTCTCTCTTCAACCTCTCTGTAAAATTCTCCTGGTAAAAACTGTCTCTGAATTCTAAAAACTGAATTTCACTGTACTGCCTCTCAACTCCCTGACTCACTCAAACTGCCTGAACAGAACTAAAACTCAGAGATCTACTTGACTCTGTCGCCTGGGATTAAAGGTGTGTCTGTATTCCAGCCGGATCACACAGACCTAGAAGGTCTTTGGAAATGATCTCTTGCCAGAGCAGCCATATTCTGAATTAAAATTCCTTTACAATGTTATAATGATATTCTTAGGGAATATATAATTTTCAAAAGTAAACTAGGCTAATTAGGGACTAGAAACAACAACAACAACAAAACCTTGACGTTTGTGTTTCAGACAAAATTTTATTGGCCCTATTTTAGTATGCTTAGACATGATGTGTTTATGGTTTTAAAAAGAAGTGCCATAAATTAGCACAGCTTGACAATATAGTCCCAGTGATCATCTCCTTCATTCATATCTGTCAAACCATCTTCTGACTTAAATGTAGTTCTCAAGAAAGGTTCTTGGCATGGAAGGGAATATACAGTGTCATTGGCAAACACAGAATAGTTATTTCATTGGTGGTATTTTTTCAATACACAAGAACGTAACGTTTTGGTTAACCAATCAGCCATACAGTACCGCTTGGCTTGAAGCATCAGCTCCCAGGCTGCAGACCAGACCAACCAGGCAGACACCCTGTTTTAGAAGCTTTCAAGCTCTCAGTCATCCTAAACGCAATAAAGAGGTTCATGGTGACTACCGTCCTTCCCAGGAATAGAAGCACACACATGTACACACAGGCAAATCAACCAAGCTTCCATGATTCCACGCCGAGTCAGGTTGGCAAGTAACTACACACTGTTGGCAACTTCTGTTTTCCACTCCTGTTTTCTCTTTTTCTTAACACACTGCCTCTCTCCATTAGTCCCTTCTTCTGGTTAACTATACCTTAACCACGTAATTTATGTAAATAAACTGGCTTAATTTCATTCTGAAACTCCAGTTTCTTGAAGATAATTTAACTCTCTTCTCCTAATTTTTTTTTCATATATAGTTTGAAGAAAATGCTCTGGACTACGAAATGTTTAAAATGATTTTTTTTTTTAAATAAAAATTAGTTTTGATGAGTTAAGATGTTTAGAATGGCTATGTGCTTTCTCAGCCCTAGTACATGGAAGGAGCCAACTGAGAGCAAGTGAAACCAGGCAACAAATACGCTGAAAACCAGGTTTTAGATTTTCACTTATACTCAATTCAACAGATCAAGTCCTTCGGGGACAGGATACAAACCCCCTACTGAGAATTTATTTCCAGAAGTTTGGCTTGGCTGGTGTTTTCCACCTTGAGGTTTAAGGTCCTATCTTTAGGACACCCAGAGCTTCTTCGTAATGGCAGTAACAAGTAGTATGGGCTTCCCGGCCTTCCTCCCTCTAGGATTTTTAACTTCTTTTAGAACACCACCCCTGCTCTTCTAGTAAATCCCACATGACAGAACAGGCTGAGGAAAAGTAGGAAAGCGGAGCCATGGAAACCGAGTGGGGGAACCGTGCGAGCGCGAGGGTGGTTGGAGGAGAAGGAACACTCCCCTGGCGACGGCGGCGCGCGAGGGTGCTCCTCGGGTGACGTCACGCGTCCGGTGACGTCACGGCCATGACACGCGGGTGACGCCGTTGCCGCGGCGACTCCCCGTCGTCTCCGCCCCCTGCCCCCGAGCCCCCCCCAAGTCCCCTCAGGCTGGGCTGCGCCGGGGGCCGCCGGCGGGTTCCTGCGGTGGCCTCCGCCCCGGCCGCTCCGCCCACGCCCCCCGCGCCTCCGCGCCCGCCTCCGCCCGCCCTGCGCCTCCCTTCCCCCTCCCCGCCCCGCGGCGGCCGCTCGGCCGGGCTTGCGCTTCGAAGATGGCGGCGCTGAGTGGCGGCGGTGGC